TTACCAATAACTGTCATGCTTTTTCAAGCTAATCCCACCAATCAAAGACGAGAAATGGACCGCTACATGTACCTACTTATGCATGTTTTGACCGTAAAGGACATGTATGAACGGTTTTATTTCGCATCCTGCATTCGCATCCGCAGTAGTAATGCGCCGCATCATTTAAAAGTCTGAGGATAAAAGTTTTGGGGGGAATCGAGAACTTTTATACAAATTTTATCAAGAGCTCACTCCGCTGCTGGCGCTGAAGCCATGCGTGCTTCAGAAGCAAATTCCTGCTTCAGAGTTAATTTATTGAGGATTCTTGTAGAATTACTCGATTAAAAATATTTAATCTCCGCTTCCAATAATACGACAAGCACTTATTTATTACAGAAAGTTATTCGTTACAAATGGACACTTCTATAGGTCTTTGATTAGAAGTCGATACAATGGCTTTCTGCATGATGTTAACATAGAAGCAATTATTAATTTCATGTCTCTCCCTTTGTCCAAATCCTCTACTCAGTCTACTGTACCATTTACGGCGAAAATAAGTTCACGCTCTGTTTATTTAGGCCTCGCCTGAAAAATAAGAATGTCATCGACGATTTCCGAGACGCACAATTTAATGTCATTGGTTAATTCCAAGACTTTCAATTTACCAATCAAACTCGGCGAAAGAAAGAAACCTAACAGTCTAGCAAAGCAGTATAACGTAAGCGCAGAACCCGACTTCAATTGAGCACTTGCCCAGGATCCGAAATTTTTGAGCTATAATGCGAACGAGTTGTACAAAAGTTAGAGTTACCATTAACAAGACGGCAAATCAACCACACACACAGTATCTTATTTACCGACCTTTTAACCCTAATGATTTTTAATGGTGCCGTTGTGAGGCTTGTATAAAGGCGACATTGGTGAAAATCATTAAACATTGATATATCGTTGCTTATTAAGTTGGTGCGTGTCCTCACAAAATGTGAGGTTATACTGCTAATGAAATGTGCGATGTTGCTAAGGCCTTGAATATATATACACATTTCAGTACCTAATAACCTTACAAGCTTAAGAAAAGACCGCCTTAGGGCCGATGATTGTACGACAATGATGTTCCCTGTGAATGCCACACACACTTGGTGGAACACTTGAGCAAATTGGTGAAACAATTATGATTGAAACACACAATAAATATTGTCGGACGGAGACATATAATCGGTCTTAAATGCGTAAGAACTGTTGCATAGCTTTTTATAAAACACGTTATGTGTATCCTGTTATGTACCATCTTTTTATGTACCATCACGTAACTCTAATTCCATTTTGTAGGCAGCAAGGAACATATACTTGATAGACTTAATTCTCTATTCGTTAATTTACAATTCTCTATTTAATTCTCTATTCGTTGTAACTTATTTTTTAGAGACACATGTAGGTACCATTCCATGCATGTTATTTGAAAGCCGAACGCATTAGTTTTTAATTTTTTGTGCCCAATTTGTTGCACAATTTTTAACGAAAAAAAATCTAATCAGTTGCAGAAAGATGATAAATAGCATTTTAAATGGAAATTGAATCTAAAGGCTAGGCAACTTCGATACACTAAGTATGGAGAGAGTTAAGCATATCTTTGAATGATCCAATCGTCTTTAAAATATGTTATCATTAATGATAATTCATTCCTTTTTTATCCTTTAATTTATTCCTTAAGGACTTGCATGAATTTGATTCAATGTAGTGAAATTTTTCCGTGTTTAAGTCTCATCATTTCAGTATAACTTTTGCTTCAATTTTCCATTTTGACCCAAATATACATGCCATTTTTAGGAAAACAGTAATCATTGAACAGGCAAAACACTGGCAAAAATCAAGAAAATTTTTCAAGACGTCTTCATAAATATTTATTCACTTCGAAACTCAAGAATGAATGTCAGATTGTTTGTAAATCGTTTAGCTGCGAACTTTGCAATTTGATTACAATTATTCTTCTTCGTTACACGAGTCGGACAGTTTTTTTTCGAAACTTCAAAGTTAATTAAATATGTTCCATAATTACCGCAATGCAACCACAATCTGCCTCGACATGACTTACAACCTCCGACTTCAGGCTTTTGAAAACAAACCGTTGACGTTCACTGAATTTATACGAATTCGATTAAAGTGCAGTCAAATTAAAAAAGCTGGAAACATTCAAATTAAATTGAAAATCTAATAGATTGCATCTTTTGTGAACTGAAATTGTCTCATCGAGTGAAAATTTCAGGAACATATTAAAGTTCATCATGGCAACAAATAAAATTTAAAAAGTCTATGGAACAGTGGAAAATATTTTAAGAAATAGTCACTGATTGTTCACTATCCCAAGAAAGTTTTAACTAAACTTAACGGAACGACGGCGAACTTCGAAGTCCAGACGGTTTATGGATGAAGTTTATCTTCATATTCTACCGTATTATCCCAGGGCAGCAGCTTCTTTAACGTCACCTCTATTTCTCAAGAAAAATTTTATAGCTCTCTAATCGTTCAAGTATAAACATTCGGGCACGTATTATTTTATTTCAATATTCGTAGTTTCATTACGATAAGACTGCAGTCATGTCTTATTTGGATTGTATTTTGAATTTTTATTGTCTTCAAGCATATAGGTATACCTTAGAAATATACTGTTATTTTGAAATTCAAAATTCCGTGACGCGTAAATCGGAGATAATTAAAAAAAATTCCAATCGTCGACGTGTGTTCGCGCTGTTTAACGTGAAAGCGCACATTTGAATGAGGTGGATGCGTGAGTAGGTTTCTTGGACGATTTATGTTGCCCACATGCTCTGTCGATCTGTGAATAAGTTGCGTGACATATCATACCAACGTAAGTCGATACGCATACCGCACCAATGTATTCCGAAACTAGGTAGGTTAGCATGTGGACTGGAATAAATCTCTTTATGCGTTACGGATTTGGATTTTAACTCTTTATTTTATCTCGGAAAAGTGTTTATTGCATGGAAATCAGGTAAAATGTCTCAGATTTTTTCCTTTTCTGCTAGTTTGAGATTGTTTCAATTTATTATATATCAATTTCACTAATTATGTTCCACGGAAATAACGATCAAAAAGTCGTTTATTGATGTTTCAAAACCTGCCAGTCACCTGAATTGAATCAGTTTCGAGCACATATATTGATGTACACTTCACGAATAATTAGCTTCACTGTGATCACGTCCCAGAAGCGCAGTTCCAATATTTTTAACTAACTAAGCACTGATTATAATTATTTATTAATTATTGGAGTTTGTCTCTCTCAAAAAGATGAATATTTCATCAATAAGTAAGATACCTGCTATGCTGTTGTTTTGCACGAGTTCTTTTCAATTTACTTGTGGTTAATTATTGAAATTATTTTTACTTGGCTTGAGTTTTCACCTTTTCTACGCTAAATAAAGCCATGAATATTACGGCTGTCTAATAGTTCTGGAAGAATTGTTTCAGACAAATAAAGTCGTACTTCTTAACACACAAGTTAATTATTAGTGAGAAACAATGGACATGGTTTCTGCCTTGTTAATGCTTCCTCTTAAGTTAGCCATAAGTTTACTGCTGGAATTATAAACAAAATAGAGCCTAATTAGCTTAGAACACACGAGTCGTTCTCATGTGAAAATATTTGCTAGGGGTTTTAGTGAATTCGCCAATATTCCAAAACTTTTGTATAATGAAAGTCACTAGACAACAACGTAAGGTGGCATAAGATGTTTGAACGTCATCGTCATTTTTGAGGCCAAACATCTTCATGGCTTGAACTTTGTGTTGACGTCCCGCGGCCCTCGACGATTTTATTCTCCCAGGGAAACGCAACTTTTTCAAGAGCGTGAAAGTAAAATGAAACCCATGATTGCATTTGTAATGGAAAAAATCTTGAACCTTTCGCCCATCGTTTGTGTCTTTTCGTCTCCACGCTTGCAATTTTCCTCAGTGTGGCTCGTAATCTTCATTCATCATTTAGGAATAATGCTGTGAAGTTTGTGAGAATGAATTGAGCGCTCGTGATGAGATATTCGTCACCATGCAGGTCACTATTGAAATCTCTTCTTAGCAGGATAAAGTAGAAAGATTAAATTCCGTCCCTTTATTCAAAGCAAAATATATGTGTCTACAGTGTTGTTCCATCAGCCATTTTAGATCTCAAATAAATGATAAAAGGTATACAAAATTTATGGGACGTAGTTTTCGGGAATGATATGAAAATAGATCCTTATTTTATTACGTCATGAGGAGTCGAATGGAATGTTTGAATTTGTCATGAGGACAGAATGAGCCTTCTTAATTAATTCTATGACATTTGCCTTTGAAGCCAGTGAAGACTAGCCACTAGTAGCTCTTTTTAATAATATGATAGGCAATTGTAATGAAGTAAATTATAATATAATGTATAATATAATATAAAGTAATATAATATAATATAATATAATATAATATAATATATGTATGTATCCAGTACTACATAGTATCGTATCAGCTAATACTGTAATATTAATATGTTAATATTACATTGTTAACTTTGATCTTAACGGCTACTTTGCCTGCTAAATAGATTGTAATTAAACGCATCCTGAAAAAAACTTGAGTTGTGAAAGTGCGTGGATTTTTCAATTTCTATGCACTTTAGTGCATAGAAATTGCGTTTTATCTGTTATTTTTTCGAAATGCGCGAAAAAATCAACTTTTCTATTTGTTTGAATATAGTCATATTGTTATTGTACGATTTTTTTCATTTATAGAGTGTATAAATTTTCTCTCTTATTAATATTTCTCAAATTAAGGGTGACACAAAAAAAACAGAGCTCACTAAAAGTCTTATAACTCCTGAAATTTTATTCAGTTTGAAACAAAAATTCTATGGAATTATGTACAACCTATGTAGCCAACATCTGCAAAATCTCAATTCTATACCACAAAAACTCTTTGTTCTACAGCCGCTCAAAGATATGTTCCAGATGCGCGCCCCGGCGCTGCAGGCAGACTTGGATTCGCCTGGCAAAGTTCTCAATGACCCTCCTGCACTCCTCTCTCGGGATGGCTCTGATGGCTGCTGTGATGGCTGCTTTGAGGTCAGGGATGGTCTGGGGGTTGTGCTCATACACCCTGTCCTTGAGGTAACCCCACAGGTAGAAGTCTGGGGGGTTCAGGTCTGGTGAGTGCGGTGACCACTCCGGGTGGCACCTGCGGCTGATGAGTCGGTCCTCGAAGCGCTGCTGCAGCCACTCCAGGGATCTATCGGAGGTGTGAGGGGTGGCTCCGTCCTGTTGAAACCACTGGAGGGCTCTGTCAATGCCTCTACGTCGGCCAAGTGCTACCCAGAACTTGCGCAGGACCTGGATGTAGCGCTCCGTGTTCACAGTCAAGGACCGCTCGTCATCGTCCTCAAACCAGAATGGCCCGATAATGCCATGAGTTGAAATGGCCACCCAGGCAGTACACTTGACAGAGTGCAAGGGCCTTTGCAGGCAGTGGTCAGGGGGTGTGCTGCCCCAGAAAATGTTATTCTTAGAGTTAACGTGCCCAGACAGCAGAAAGTGGGCCTCGTCTGAAAACCACATGTTGTCGAGAAATTCCGGTTCATCATCAATCTTGTCTGACAACCACTGGCACATGGTGACTCGCTTCCGCATGTCGTCAGCTGTGAGCTTGTGCTTGATTTGAATCCTGTAGGGATACAGATGGAGATCTGAGATCAAAATTCTTCTTACAGACTCCCGGTTGATGCCAAGCTCTTGACTTCGCCGACGCACAGACTTGCTTGGGCTGTGGACAACAGAGTCTCTGACTGCAGCAACATTGTCTTGTGTCCGTGATGATTTTGGTCGCCCAGAGTGTGATTGTCTGTTTTTGTCTTTTGCATTGAGGTTATTCACAGTCCCATGGGTTCTGAACTTTTGAACCCATCCGCAGATCACTGAGCTGACAGGAAATTCACGACAATTGAAATGGTCTTTGAATCGCAATTGCGTTTCCCGGAAAGACTTTAGCCGAAAATATGTCTCAACTGCAAATGTCTTTTGCTCTGTAGTCCAAGGCATCTCGAAGCTCACACGTGGTAGACTCTTAGATCAATCCGTCTTCTTAATGAATCTGAAACAAATAACAGGATTACTTGAGTATTGTGGAAATTATTCAACTTTTTATGAGCTCTGTTTTTTTTGTGTCACCCTGTAGTATTCGATTACTTTAACCTACCTAAGCCTTAATCATAACCTAACCTAAGCCAAGCTTATAATCAAGCCTAACCCTAGCCCAACCTAAAGCAAACACGTTAATTGAGTGGATTGGCTCAATAAATTTTTCAATTGCAGTACAATTGCAGATATTTAAGTGTGCGCAGTTTGGCTAAAAAATTTTTAATCTGTTTCTTGCTTGTGTTTGAATAATACATTTAACTCGCCTCGCTTTTTCTTGAACATTTCATAACAATTACCATTTTCTACAGTTGTCAGGCAGATTTATTTGCATTTTTCTACCACTCTGAAGTAAATTTAAATTTCAAAGATGAGAAGCAATTCAAGCCGATAGGATTTTATATAGAAACCTAAAAATTTATTCCTGTCAGAGTTGTGTTTTCTGACGTGACTATTTTGCCTGTATCCTCGTCTTTTAGTGATATGCCCTCGAAATTTTCCTAGGAAGCTTTGCACTGGTCCGATAAAAGATGTCCTACCTCAGAAACAATAAGCAATAATTCCATTTTAACGAAGTTAATTGGAATACAATATTCATTATATTGCAAGTTAACCCTGTTCCCTTAGGTGAGGAGACGTGACACTGGAAGCAATCTTGTGTGATTGGTATACTCGATACCTCCTGCCAGAGATTGGCTCTTCGCAACAAAGACAGGAGAAAAAATATAAGCTTTTAATTTTTTCGGAAGATGAAGATCGGCAGCCAACAAACAGTCGGTCCTTCACTGATACTTGCTGGATACAATCTCCTCATTTCGGAGATTGTTTGCTCGAACATTTGTTCGTTGCATCAGATAGGATGCCGGTATAATTGGGAGTAATTATCGATTCAGCAACTTTCGCTCAAAAAATTTCACTAATAATGATTATTGTTCGTACTGTTGGTTTATATTAGTTGGTTTAAAAAGTTTGGGACACCAAGTGAAAAGTATCAAGCAAGTTTTTTTTAACCAGATTTAGTCAGGAGTTTTGGTAGTTTTCATTTGTAGTAGGTATTCGCTTTTTAAGGGAAAGCAAATTTTTTAGTTATTTTTTAGGATGTAGTAGTTTAAATATTTGGATAGGTTTTGAAAAAGGATTGTAGCTTTTGACCACATGTTTTTCCGAGTTAAATTAAACGCTTCCCTCAAATTAAAACTTCCCTTGTATTGCGTTATATTTAAGCTATTATATATTTCACAGTTTACGCCTTGCACAAATTTCGGTATTCGCATGCTTCTCATGCTCCTAAAATATATTTGTTTAGGGATTTTTTGAATACAAATGATTTCATTTCGTTATACTTGGCCTCTCAACTGGAATTCATTTCATTTTCCAAAATTCTAATAAATTCATCATTTTCAAACGCATTATCATTCATTTAAACATTTTAATCAAGAAATACTTATTTAATAGTAATCTCCCTCATGGAAATTCAATAACAGTTCGCCTCATGGTAGAGACGTTAATATAAGACTAGCAACAGAGGCTGAATGCACGACGTTTCGCTGCCAATTCAGAAATAATTTCAGTTTAGGCGCCTTAATGTCTGTGATCTCCATGCGAGCGTTGATGTTGTGGGAGGCCATTCAGGGTCAGACAAAACCATCGCTGGGAGTCATGTGCTGCACGTGTTGTGTACAAATCGTCAAACAAACGTTCGAAATTCTGACTTCGACTTCGGACTATCGCCCCCTTATTGCCCCCCTACCGCCTTCTTCTTCCTTACCGCCCCCCAGAATCTTTCCACCGCCCCTAGGGGGGCGATATCGCCAACTTTGGGAACCACTGGTCTAGAGTTAAGGACGAGAAGTTTGAACATTGGTATAAATTAAGAACTATCAAGCATTAATATAAATTCTATAAAAAATAAAGACGTCTCCCCTGCCATCACCTCTGATCATGTTCTTGGTCATAAATATCTCGCTAAGATGTTATCTTGATATTTACGTCTATTATTTCAGACCTGAACCTGAAACCTGAGACAGTAATTGCTCTCAAGACTGACGGTGGCGCTCGGCCTCCAACTAGCAAATTTCTTTCCTGCTCCTCGATTTTTCTTGAGACGCTCTTGCCGGAATGAGGGGCGGATATTGAGAGCTGCCCTGGCAAGCAATCAGTATGGAAGCTGAAGCATGTTTTCCGAGAGCCGCTAGTCGTGCTGGTGCATTGAAAGCTTCGATTATACCAGTTCATACCTGCTGATGTCTCTACATCGTAATTTTATCTTCTGAAAGCGTTCAAGAAATACTTGAGAAATATCTAGCTGCCCTGGCAAGCAATCAGTATGGAAGCTGAAGCATGTTTTCCGAGAGCCGCTAGTCGTGCTGGCGCATTGAAAGCTTCGAGTATACCAGTTCATACCTGCCGATGCCTCTACATCGTAATTTTATCTTCTGAAAGCGTTGTGCAAGCACTGTGTCTTANTGCGCCAGCATGGTGTCTCATTGGCTAATTTGTTGCAGGATATTTGAAAATTTCGAAAATTATCGTTTGGATTGAATTGCGCTTCTGTGGATTTTTTTTCTGTTACCTATTTAAAGCTAAATTGAGGAATATTTTCAAGTCGATGCGAGCATTTCTTATTAATTGGTCGCTGGTCTTTAATTGCTTGTGAAAAATAATTTCCTTTTATGGAGTTTCCTCTTCTCTCCGGCTCAGTCATGTCAACATTAGAAATTCATCATCATTGAATATATCACAATAATTACGTTCTAACTACTGCACTACGTTATACTCATAGAGATTCGGATGCGTGAAAAAACACGTATATAAAATTTTTTTATTGTTAATTTTGATACGATTGTTCACAACCTGCCTATTGTGCTTTGTATCTTCGCTATTTGGGTTTATTTCTTTTGAATGATCGATATCCATTTTCTCCTGATCTATGAGGCACACTCTTATCCAGATAAAACGAGTGCTCTCTGGAATTGAAAGAAAAACTCGTGAATCGCTTAACAAGAAGAGACAAGAGGCGCTTGAGTCTGATTTCTAAACGTAACTTAAGAACTATTGCAAGCGGGAGGCTGGAAATTTCACTCCAAGTGGCAATAGCGACCGAAAAGAGCTGTAGACAGGAAAAGAACGAATGTATCAGTTGTACCTAATAAATCTTATGAAAACTTCCGTGTTGTAATTTGGAATGTATATGATGTTAAAACTCTTGAAAGCATGTTGAACATTTTTATCGAATTCTCGATAATTGTTTTTTCATCTTCACTTTCTGTCGCGCCAATTTAATAGATTTTACTAGGCTGTAGTGCTTCACTGTTCACAATCGATAAAATTATTTGATTAAACATATATTTTACTTATCTGCATTTAAAAATAAATGTGGGTTTGGAACTTGAGTATCCCGCAGCCGGATTAAAGAATTGGAAAAACTTTGTAATATTAAGATTAAAGTAACAGAATCAAACAAATGTATGTATTTAAGCTCTTTAAGAATAGCTAACTTAAAAAATCTAGAAATTTAAACGTCGGAATTTTGCACGTCTTTGAGCAAAGATATTCAACTCCAATACTAATTCAGCATTCTATATTCCGTTTATGTCAATTAGTATCAACAATACTGGTGACGGAAATCATATACATATTTGTGTTTCGTTGAGACGAACAATTAGTGTACTGTACATATATAGGTGCGTTCGTGTTTCGTTGAGACGAACAATTAGTGTATATATAGGTGCGTGCCTTAAAAGATAACACAAATCTCTCGCCACTTCACCACCGCCACCGCCTCTGTTCTTTCGCTGCATCCGTGTTCATGTTTATAATCGTCTGGACCCCGATGTTTTTGATAAAGTTTTTCATAAATATTTGTGATGTTCCATATTTCAATGTAATTACTACAATATTTTTCAGCAAGTTCTCACGCAGCACCGATGTAAGTAATTTTGCCTACGTATGCTTTGAATTCGATAATTTTTTCGAAAATGTAACCGTATGTACAATGATGTTTTTACTCGAAATAAAGGCCATTGTAACGAGTTACTTGGCGCACAATAGGCAAATTTTCTAAGTTTTATTTAATCTTTACATAAGAGACCAATTCAAATTACAAGCTCGCTCTGATTTTCAGAGAGATATCTTCAATTATCAGCAAGGCAGCAATGATAAATCCTTTTCCGTAGCAAAATTTTTCTTTATATATTTTGGGCTCAAGCAGAGTAAATACAGCTCTAAAAATTTCCTTATTGCATCCCCATATTCAAGACATATTATATATCAACAGGATAAAATTATGGAAAAAATATTCAAGATGAGTTCAGCAGCCACTCGTACGGATTATGCGTCCTACTTGACATAAATATTATGCGTGCTACTTGACATAAATATTATGCGTGCTACTTGACATAAATATTATGCGTCCTACTTGACATAAATATTATGCGTCCTACTTGACATAAATATTATGCGTCCTACTTGACATAAATATTATGCGTGCTACTTGA